CACAGACACACACGCACACACGCACGCACAGACACACGCGCACACACGCACGCAGAGACACACGCGCACACACGCACGCAGAGACACACGCGCACACACGCACGCAGAGACACACGCGCACACACGCACGCAGAGACACACGCGCACACACGCACGCAGAGACACACACGCACGCAGAGACACACGCGCACACACACGCACGCAGAGACACACGCGCACACACACGCAGCTCTGCGACGAGGATGAAAACCTGTGTGAATCTGTCCAGGTGAAGAAGAGGAGGGTCAAAGATGAAGAGAGCCCAGAGAAACACGATAAGAACCAGTCATCTGGGAGGAAAAGGAAGAAGACGAGTTCTGAGCATGAGAAAGCAGAGAAGAACAAAAAGACCAAGAAAGACGGAGACCAGGAGAAGAAGAAGAAGGAGGAGTGAGACACACGCGCGCACACACACACACGCACACACACAGAGACACACGCACACACACACACGTGACACCCGGAAGCGCGTCGTGAGTGCGCATGCGCAAAGAGCACATGTCTGCTGTCCGCGGCGTCTGCAGGGAATGAAAACATGTTTGCGTTTCATTTCGCGATTAATTTATATTTCAGCGGAACGTAATAAAGTCGCGTCGTTCGTTTCCTCTGTCAGATATTATTATGCGGCTGCCGCCAAAACTCTGTCAGACTGCAGGTCAGCTCGAGTTTACATCACTTTACACGAGTTCAGACCCTTCCGCTGCTATCAGGTTCATATTCGTTAATGCTCCTTTTCATTATTATTATTAATATAAGAAAGTATTATTAATAATTCTCAGTGTTATCACGCGTCCACATGCGCTTTTGTGACCCGTAAACTATACCTGCATAACTCGCTATATAACATAACTGTAAAATAAGTTTTTTTTATTGACATGCTGAACTTCACTTTAATGACAGAATTGTTGTAGAGTTGTGTTGCAGCTTTGAGATCATATTATTATTTGGAAGAGACAGTTTATTAAATATTAACCTGAAATCTTGATAATGATTAAGTTATAATTTATTTTTAAAAATATGTATAATAATAATCATAAATTAATAATTATTTAACTAAATTAAACAATTAGTTGTTGATTTTAGTTATTACATTATTAATGTATGATTTGTATATATTTACAGATTTATTAAACTTGCATAAAGTGTATTCTTAATGTTTGGAAAGGCTGAATCTGCAGATGTGACTGCTGTGCGTTATATTCTCTGTGCTTCATATTTCTGTCTCTCTGCTGTGTGATTGATGTGTGATTGATCTGTGATTGATCTGTGATTGATCGTTCAGGTGGGAGGAAGGAAAGTCATCAGACACTCAGAAATGGAGCAGTTTGGAGCACAAAGGACCGTATTTCCCTCCTGAATACGAGCCGCTGCCTGATAACATCTGCTTCTATTATGACGGTAAACACATGACGATGCCTTCTGCTTCACTGAGTCCAACAGCAGTCACGTTTATTCATACACTACAGACTGATTCAGAGCAGCTTCACTGAAGCCTGTGTGACTGTGTGTGTGTGTGTGAGTGAGTGACTGTGTGTGAGTGAGTGACTGTGTGTGTGTGTGTGAGTGAGTGACTGACTGTGTGTGTGTGTGTGTGTGTGAGTGAGTGACTGACTGTGTGTGAGTGACTGACTGTGTGTGAGTGAGTGACTGTGTGTGTCTGTCTGTCTGTCTGTGTGTGTCTGTCTGTCTGTCTGTGTGTGTCT